TTATTAAGTATAGTTATTTAACTATATGTGATACCCAGTGTGGTGTAGTGGATAGAGTAATGGACTGGGACTCAAGAGGCCTGGATTTGAATTCCCATTTCACCATGGAAACTTACTGGGAGTGTGGAACTGGTAAAACCACTCCTTAAATATTTTACTTACCTTGAAAGCCCGGTTAGGGTCGCTATAAGTCAGTTCCAATTAGAAGGCACACAACAACGTCTCTATATAGCAAGGGGAGGGGGAAAATCTGAGTTGTCTGAAAATGACCTAAAGTATGTTTTCCTCATATTTAAGAAAGGGGGAAAATTGACTGTTTTGAAGCCTGTGGAATTGGAGGCTTCCAGGATTAAGAGGAAGTGCTGACTCTCTTTTTGAGAAGCCATAAAATTCAATCTTCCCGTTTCTAATCCTGCAAGGCTGGCAAACGACAGTTTTTAAAGCACTGACATATTTATGTAGAGAAAAGCCATTACTGACCTACCTTGAGCTTTGCAGCAAGAAGTGCAAACAGATTTTAAATCTAGAAGGAACATTTGTTTTTAGGATGGTGGAAAAGGGATTGAAAATGTAAGGTTAGGTTTTAAAAGTTCAGGATAAGAAATTAAGTCAGATGGAAAATTTAACACATGGATAATTAAAGACAGAAAATTCACAGAAACAAAAATGGAAATGTATTTTATGCTAACAAATTAAAATTTTTGCTGGACCCATGGGTAACAATGGGTTAAGGAGTTAACGCTAATGGCACCTCCATGCCCCCATAAAAAGATTGTGAAAAAACAACTTGAATATTCATCACATATATTTTTAAATGTGCTGCATAGTTCATGCATCACATTCATCACTGTAGCAAACATTGATGTTTTGAGTGTATTCATTAGAATTGGTGGATGAAAAATAGTCATTGTAAAATCCAGAACTATTCTGACTATCTAGGTACCTAGGGCATTCTTGTTCAAACTGTATGCCACCTTTTTGTACTGTTTGTGAGATAGCCAGTGACATATAGTCCTGTATTAAAACCATAAACAGTTTTCCTGTCTCATGGGTAATATACAGATTTCTCAAAGCATGTCTTATAGGTGCTTATATTATGATGAATGGAATTTGAAAGCAATTGGGGTTACTTAAATAAAGCAGGAAGTACTTGATAATTAATTAATTAATTAATTAATTACCATTATAGTCCGCCTTTCCTCCAGTGGCCTTAAGGTAATATACAGTACATCTCCTCCCAGTTTTTAATTCATAACACCCTTGTGAGGTGGCTCAGGCTGAGAAGAGTGACTAGGCCAAGGTCAGCTAGTGTTTCATGGCACAGTGGGGACAAGAATCCAGACCTCACTTTCTGCCATCAGAGTGGTATCATCTGCATATCTGAGGTTTTTGATATTTCTTCCAGCAATCTTAATTCTGGCTTGGGATTCATCCAGTCCTGCCTTTCGCATGATGTATTCT